CCCCACACAGCCTGAGAAGTGGGGGGAGAATTCGATCTCTGCTCATGTTCAGCTAATTCTGAAATGCCTTTTTAATAGAAAATGATTATTAAGATGACAATTATGCCTCCACCAATGCAGCATGTAATTGAGAGCAATTATAGAAGTGAACGTTGGGGGAAATCCCAATTTCTCTCTTCCTTGGAACCGGAATGATTCATCTCTTTTTTTAAGGGCTGGAAGTTGAGACCCAGGAAAGTATCTTTACAATAGCTGAACCTGGAACCCCACATGAGAGAGCTGCACCTTGCTGCTTTTATAGTGACCTTCTCTCAGATTGTTAAATGGTTCTTTTTTAGGATGAGTGCTAAAAATGAATGCTTTAAAGAACTGCCTGCAATGGTTTTGAACTGCCAGCGATCGAACCCTCTGATGAAATTTATTTTAATGGTGCCTTATATTTTCCATCTTTTTATCTTGCTGTTTTTGGTGATTTGATAGTTCTTCTGATTTTGTTCTTATTCACAGCCTTGATCTCTACAGCAGACTTACAAGTAAGTTAGATATCAGTCCCAATGGGAACAGCTACAGGCACAATACAAAGATGGATCTACTACTCTCTCACCATGAGCAGGTTATAGGGGTTCTTCACAGTGGATCTAACGCTTGAGACAGTGCAATCCTGTGCACGCCCACTTAGAGAGTAAGTTCAGTGGGACTTGCTGCCAGGCAAGCTTGCATATAAAATTGCAGTCTAAAGCCAGAAATTGGTCTGTGTGCGAGGGTTGAGAAAACTTTTCCTCATGCTGCTGCTGAATGAGATGCCATGCCCTCTACTTCTGCTTTTAAAAAATGATGAAATCGAATCACAGAGAGTTCATATCTGGGTAGTTTTGACCATAAGATAAGGCAAATATCCATTAGGAATATATAACAGACAAAATAAATGTCTCTGAATTTTCATGGATCCCCAGATACATTTAAGAGACTATATAAAATTCATTGATTTTAGAGCATTTCAAGCATTGCTTTCCAACAATTGACATACTATACATGTGTCAGGTAGGATAGGCAAGATATTCCATGAAAAAGCAGACATGCATTGATCAATGTATCAATATGCAGTAGCTGTTTTGAAGATAAAACTCAAGTGACTGTGCAGGATGTCTAAATGTTCAAACTATTTGTTTGTGTGTCTTTAATACACTAAGGTCTCAAAAGTGGACCCTCTTTTCAGACTCACTTTCTATTGATGCATTGAGAAAAGGTCTTCCCATTACTGCAGGATTAGTCTCTTGGAGACCAGGAGTGATCAAGGTATATTTTTAACATTTGCCATTTAAAATGAACAGGTGATGTGGACATATGTCTAGGAAGCAGATATATAGTTCTTGATAAAGCCCGTATTGAGTCTCATAATGCGACAGCTTGCCCATTAAAATGGTGCCACAATGTTTTTCTAGAAAATATGACAGCACCTTTTGAGTGTGACATGTGGAATGCTGGTTGACCTCTCATGACATCCATTCAAGGAGACATGACAAAAATCTCATTTACTCAAACATTTCAATCTTCTCTGTCTTTAGTGAAACTGAATGAGAATTTGGTTTTGAGTAAAGACAGCAGGTTCCTTGAATTCTGGAGACATGTATCCATTAATACAATAATGAGTACTGGTGCTGGGAGAAATAGCAAATTGCCAATTTACATATAATTCAGGAATTTTTTTTCTATTTCAGAAACCTGATAAACCACTTGGTCTTTGACTTCACTTTGTCCCTGAAGCTGCTGAGTGTTTTTGCTCAATGAACCTGCTTTGGGCCGGCACAGGCATAACTGATCTGCATAAATCTTCCTGACAGGCTGCTTATGAACAGCGGAATCATGCTCCATTTCTTGGTAATAGGTCTGTGCTAACTGGAAGGCAAGTGACATTATAAATTGATAGCAGGACAGCCAATATTGTTCGTAGAAACTGACCTATCAGCATACTCCAGTTGTGGGTGCAATAAGAAGAAGAATATAAAGCAAATGTTGACCTAAACATGAGGCCATTTCTAATCACAGGTGCTTTTAAAAAGTTATTCTTTCACACTTTTTATAAAGGGATCATAACAGTCCTAGAATCTATTTTCAGTAGATCCTATTACAGGATCTAACTGTAAAATGTATTAAGAAGCATATCTCTGAACATGTGCAGAATACATTTCTGTCAATACTAACCAACCACAAGACATCCTTACTTATCTGCAATTAAGGGGAACCAGTACTAGCTTCCAGGAGAGCTAAGCTCAAGGTTTTTAAATTATTTGTTATTAAGACATGGATGGCATCCTTCACCAAAATATTAACAACACATTACAATTCACAGCACCACTGCTACTAAGAAACTTAGTAGAAAACGAGCATCAGTTGTATTAGCATTCTGGAAGCAAAACAGCAAAGCGCTATTCAGTCAGTCCAATAAAAATGTTTTTCTTCCAAGAGAATGAACAAACTACCTGAGGCTTCACTGCAGTGCCCCAGCCCACCAGTCTTTTTAAAGACAGGAAGGCTCTCCTTATAAATTGTTAATAGTTTCTTCCATGCATCACCCATCAGGTAAGGGCATAACAAAGGTGTTTTAATCCCCAGCAAACACTTTGCAACACAGATTGGCTTGATCAGTACACCTTTCTATGATCATGGCAGATAAGGACTTAAGGGCCTAAGCCTATGTCAGCTTAGGCAGAAATAGCAACTTCCACGGTCCCCCAGCCAGCAGTTCATTTGTTAGATTCAAGATTAATCAGGTTACATTCAAATTAAGTTTTCATCAGCAAGATTCTTTCCTGATTAATAGAAAGCATGCAGCTCTCACCACTAGTCACTCCTTCATTCCTGATTACGGTAACCGCCATTTTCTCCTTGAAACAGTGGATTTAGAAAAGATGTTCTGTACCCAACCAAATGTTGACTTCAACCTCCACCCAGGAGGTTGGTTGGTGGTTATACTCTTGACAGATATATTTCAACTGAAAACTGAGAAATAAATGGCTTTTCTGCTGGCAATCCTACATGTATTTGCCAGAAACTAAAAGTAAATTGAATCACACTGAATGGAGCATATTTCTAAATAGACAGTGAGTTAAATCCAAATTTTGTCAATTTGAAATCAATGAGACTTCAGTTAGTCATGATTAAATTGATTCCCATCGATCTCAGTGGGCCTACTCTGAATAAATCTGGACCAAAATCGTATATAGGATCAGGTTGTTGCAATATTTTAAGAGCTTTAAGCAGCAATCCTATGCATCTCAAGTTGGAAAAAAAAGTCCTTCAATTCCCAGCATCCATCTGGGTAGCCATGCTAGCTGGGCATGTTGAAAGCTGCAGGATTTTCTTCTGTCCAGACATACATGTTATTGTGCCCTTAGGGACTCAGAGCAAGCATCAATACTGGGCTACCAGGCCCTGGCAGCTGTCCATAAATGGCTGATGTTGCTTCCAGCCCTAATGATGACTCAGCCTGACTGCACAAAACCTTCCCTTGGTTTCAGTTTTTCAATGCCAACCCTCTGAAGCTCTGGGCAGTGTGAGGGTACTGACCACCTAAGCGGCACACAGCTGTTCACCCAGTGGCTCGTCAAAGCAGTGGCTACTGTGGCTTTCTTCTTGCTCACCTATCCTCCCAAGGTAAACAGTGGTTGGGGATACCCTGGTTCAGTCCTCTATACCTCAATGGCTCCTGTTTATTTGCTTTCCTATTCTCTAAGCTTCTGCACCCAGTTCATTGCTGTGCCAACTCTGTCATGGCAATGGGATATCTATTTTATTTATTTATTTGATTTATATCCCACTTTTTTCTTACAACAAACTCCAAATGGCTTACATCATTCTCCTCCTCCTGCTCTCTAGCTTTTTCAACACAATGCGTAGCACCCCTGTGAGGTAGGTTGGTCTGAAAGTCTGTGACTTTCAAAGTTACTCAGCTCCATGGCCAAGCAAGCACCAGAACCCACATTGCCCCAGTCTCAGTCCTGTTCTCTCAACCAATTTAACATCTACTAACCACCAATTTAACATCTTAACCAATTTAACATCTACAAACATCTTAACCTTGAACTTAAAAACAGGGGTCTTTGAAACAAGAATGCAAAGAAGAATTTTTAGAATGAAAAAGATTTTTAGAAAATGCCAATTTATTAAGCTGTATATGCTTAGTCAGCCAGCCAGCCAGTTGCATAGCTGGGAACAGGGGTGCAGGTTCAAACCACCTGGCTTATGAACAGGAGGGAGAAGAGCAAGAACAAGAGGAGCAGCTGACCCAGACCAACCAGAAACAAGGTGAACACTGAAGAAAATATTGTGACTTCTCTTTAAATAAAAGGTCTGCCTTCTCCCTTTGATTCATGGAAAATCCCAGAATGTTCACAAAAGACCAACAAATAGATCAATACGACATACTTTTCTGAATATAGATCAGTGTTACAGACATGGCTCACCACTAATCTCGAAAGCTGCAGTTCTGCTAGAGTTCTTTAGTCCTCTTCACAGAATTATAGGCCCTATAATTCCTTGGAGAGGTGGACAATTGTTTTACTAATTTGCTTCTAGTATGCAAATTAAAATCTAAGAAGGATAATGAGACACATGAGCATTTAGAAGAAGACTAAAGGGAACAATAAACTCCACCTGAACAATCTCCCAGGGACATCTGAGGCTAGAGGGGAAGTTGTAAATACAGCTTTAAAATTTATATACAGGTGAGCTTGGTAGCACTTATATCAGTGGGGTTTCTTATTCATTGCAGCTTTTATTCTGAACTGCTGAAGAGCTATGCATGGTGCTATCCATCCCATAGTACATTTGCCACCAAGGAGCACCATGAGCAGTTCCCAAAAACTCAGAATATAAGCTCCCACTGCCATTAGAGTCATAACACATCTAAGAAGACTGAAAATTTAAGTCTCAAAGGCACTAAATATACAGAGTTCAAGATTAGCAGCTCCCGGCATACCCAGTTTTCAAGCATGGTAAGCTGTTTGCCCTCCAACTTCTGACTCAAAAAATGATCATCCATCCAAAGACCAAAAGGTACCAGTACTCTTTTATGTTTCAGAAGCCCTCATAAGTGAAAGGAGGAAAGTTGGGCAAGCATGCAGCTGTTTCTGCCAGGCAGGCAAGATGGTTGACTTCACAGGAAGTGGGGTCCTGCTGGCTGCACATGAAAACACTGTCTGGAGAATACATGGAGGGGTCTTCATCAAAATAGTTGTAGGGTCTCAAGAGGAAGCCAATCATGTTTCCAAGTGTTGGTGTGTTGGGTATATCTTCAGCCTGTGGAATATGCAGGAAGCCAGTCGTGACCCAGGCAACAAGGTCCTGCCAAAGAGAGAAACAAATAACCACACTGTTTGGTTATCTAGGGCAAAAGCTTGAAAGGAAAAAGAGTGCAAAAATGAGGATTCATAGAAACTGACCCAGTGCAGCAGATGTTGAAAGACAGATTGGTAAAGAGGAAGGGAACCTGTGGCTCTCCAATTGTCCTTGGATTAGAATGCCAATCACCCCTTAAAATCGGCCGTATTGGCTGGACTGATTTGAGTACAGGTCAAACAATAGTTGGATGGCTACCAGTTCTCCACTGTTGACTTAGTATGATCTGACATTTGGTAGGTGATAATTTCATAGGGCAATCTTATTCATGTTTATTCAGAAGTAAACCCTAGTGGCATTTATTCCAAAGAAAGAAGGCAAAGAATTGCAGGGTGGGTTCATTAATGGTGTACATCAGCACAGCAAGAAAAGGGTTTTCTTCTTTAAGATATGTGCTTGAAATATTTTCCTGTACCTAAAAGGGCCAGATGTTGGACCTATTTTTTCTGACAAAAATTAACAAACTTTTTAAAAAATGGTTTTGAGCTGGAGAGAGCTGAATTGTTGTCCAGAAGAAATGGCACATATGATGTCTTGAACTGGGAATAAAGTATGCAAAATGTTATCTCTTCGAACAATAGTCAAAATTCAATCAGAGAAGTTCAGTACTTCTCCCTAAGGAGGCCAGGATGGATATGGTAGAAAAGAAATATGAACTGCAGAAGGAAGTGTCATAAGAACTAAACTCAGGAAGAGCCCAGAAACACTGAAACTACCAAAGGCAACAAGTCACTTGAGAATACACTACATTTCCATCTACAAAGTAGAATGCACACATTAAGAAAACACATCTCTTCCTGCTGGGTCTTTAATTGTATTTTTCACTGTATGTTAAAACAACAAAGTAAAAATATTAAAATAGCTTTATGTTATTTGTATTGTTTTTATTGTTTTATACATTGCTATAAATTGCACAGACAGGTTCAGCTACAGGGTGGTATAGAAATGGAATAAATAATAATAAATAAGAGAATACACTACATTTATATCTGCAGAGGAGAAGTAATAGAAATCATGCCTTTGGAAAGGAATGAGTAACAGGATTTGGGTTACAGCTTATGGCCATGTTTTTCAACATTATGACAAGTGCTGCAGAAGGGGAACTGGTTCTTCAGGTTCCACACCCATTTTTAAGGAATCACTTCAAAGAATCATAAGCCTCTTCAATTTTCTCATGAGCTGGTTATGCTTACCTGTTACACTATGAACCCAGGAGGAAATTGATGGGAAAGGGAGGAGAAGAGCTGCATTTAAGTGGGAATTCTAAAACTAGCAAACATTATAGGTCAGATTGCTAATTTTATACATACACACAGAGAGCTATCCAGATTCACATCACGTTTGCCATCTGTGAAACAGAACTGAAGCAAATTTAAAAAATGAAAGTCTTGCACATTCTGTGATATTTACATTGAAGAGATTGTCTTAAAATTGCTCCTTTGCAGGAATATTTTAGGGAACCACCCTTTTATGAGTAGTCTGGGCTACTGTTTCAAAACAAGGGCAATGCACAACTGAAGAGTTAGATGCACATTCCATTTCATAAACCAGATTTGAAATCTCATTTCTCAAGCCTGTTTAAAGTAGCAGAGGACTAATCTATGCTTGAGCTCCTTCCATGTATCAGGGAGCACTGACACAGTCTGGGGCATGTGCATTTTGTGTAAATACCATGCAGTTTCCAATATGCTGAAAAAGTGATATGCATCACACACAAATCCAGTTGTGGGTCCAGTAAGAGGAGCTGGAGTGATGGTGTATGCAGGGGCAATGGCACTTCTTTCTTTTCTTTTTTTAAACCTCCAAGCTTATGTGCTGGTTCAACTGTTATAAAAAAGTAGAAACTGGGGAGAAAAGAAGGAAGCTGTAGCCTTCTGCTTTCCTTCCACCAATGTTCTTCTCTACCCAAAAGCAATTCCTGAAAGCCAATGCAGTCTCTCTTCCTTGTCAGTTTCTGCAGAAGTAAGTGCCATTGCAATCAATATGATTTACTTCTGAGCAGGCATGCACTGCTGTCGTTGCATGCTATCAACTCATTTCCAACTTATGATGACCCTCAGAATGAAAGCCATCCAGAATGTCTTCTGCTTGTCTACCCTGCTCTGCTTTTGTAAACTCAAGGCTGTGGATTTTAATGAAATCAATCCATCTCTTAGTTGGTCTTCCCCCTTCTGCCTTCAACTTGCCCTGGCATGATCGTCTTCTCCAGTGAGCCTTGCCTTCTCACGATGTGCTCAAAGTATGACAGCCTCAGTTTCATCATTTTTGCTTCCAGGGAAAGTTCTGGCTTGATTTGTTCTAGAGCCCACTTGTTCATCTGTCAGTTGAGGGAATTCTCTCTTCCATCACCACATTACAAATTGTCAGCTTTTCTCACTACTTCGCTTCCACACCCATACATGTTAATCAGATCATGGTTGATCTTTGCCTTCATTTCCAGTAAAACACCCTTACACTTATCTTTTCCAGTTCCTTCATTGCTGCTCTTTCAAGCTTTTCTTTTTCTAATACCTTAGCTGAAATTCCCCTTTGAATTGACAACTGAACCAAGGTATGCAAGCTCTTTCACATTGCCAACATCTTCATTGTTGACAGTAAAGTTACATAATGCTTCTGTAGTCATGAAACAAGATGTGTACGATCAGTGCATTGTCACCTAGTTGTTCCTTGAGGCAAGGAAATAATCTAGAGAGGCACCTATACTATCTTTCCCTGTTTATTCTATCTGCTAAACTAGCAGTAGGAGAAACTGATACATCTAGCATCCAGTTCCAAATTAGGCTCCTGCTTATTGGAAACTTTGTGGTGATCCTGTATTTTTGAGGTGGCTGGGTTGTCAGTGTTCCATGGGGATCACCAGGACTTACCTCATTGACAATGCTCTCGTTGTTTAGAAAGTCCGCAAAGGCAACTGAAGGTGTCCATGGGTCAATCTGGTTATAGATGCTGGTGCTGAATGGTTCCTTCTCTTTCCGCTTAGTGACAGCCAGCTTGTACCTGAAAAACATATGAAGAGCCGCATCACTGAGATGCAAGAGTGAAATTTGCTTACTTATTTAAGTAAAGGCAACCTATGGTGATGTGTTGGGGTACAATTCAGGTATAACTGAACTATAACCATCAGAACACAGAATTGTAAGGAAGAATACAGAGTCCCAAGAATCAGCAAGGTAAATTACTGCTGAAGGAAGGAAGACTGAGAGCCCAATGTGTTTTCAAGGTGTGTTTAAAGGCCTGAACCACGGAGCCAAACACAGTTGCACAGAAAGAGTGTTCCACAACCACAGGACCAATTGTCCCCAGTGCCTGCCTACCTAGTCGATCTCACGTGCGGTTATGTTAAAAGGGCCTCCATCTTAATAGACTAGTAGGATCGTAAGGGTGGCAGCAGTCCTTGAGATAATCTGGTCCCATTGCAATATGGGCACTTAATCAGGTAAATTCACATCTGTTGGGCTGGGGGTTCTAGCTAAAGAGTAAGGAGTGGTTAGGAAGTGACAGATAAAGTGTGACAGTTTTGGTTAGGGAAAGGAAGCGTGTGGAAAGAAAGGGAGAAAATCTGTGGGTTCGTGTGTGGGATTTGGGAAGAACTAGGAAAAAGCTGAAGAGAAAGTTAATTGCTACTCTTTCTTGGTGAAATAACCTTAAGTGGTTGTGAAAATCTGGAGTAAGGAGCAGGTGATGCCAAGAGGCTGCCTGAAACTCTTCACAGAGAAGGTTGAACAAACAGACAGTAGTATAAAGTAGTATAAAGGAGAGGCAGTGTGGTGTAGTGGTGAAGAGCATGGGACTGGGACTCAGGCGATCTGGGTTCTAGTCCCCACTCAACCATGGAGCCAACTGGGTGACTTTGGGCCAGTCACAGACTCTCAGCCCAACCTACCTCACAGGGTTGTTGTTGTGGGGATAAGATGCAGGAGGAGAATGATGTAAGCTGCCTTGAGCCTTTTGTAGGAAAAAGGCAGGATATAAATTGAAAAATAAATAAATAAATAAATAAAGTTCTACTCTATATTATTTAAGATCTTGGTACCCCAGGAAACAAGAGTTCAGCATATAGACATGTGTCACTCACCTGCCCCAGCTGATGGCTCGTTCCATCGGATCTTTTTCTGGTAGGTGTTCTCCAGAAAAGCTGACTATCTGGATCCGGTAGCCACGTTGATGGCCCCATCGGTTTGTACTGTTGGATGCAAAATATATGATTCTGGGGATATCATCATGAAGGCGGAAAGCAGCTTTGTCCTCAGTATCTAAGGTTTTCCTTATCCTCCTCATTTGGTTGATCGTATGTTCTGGACTCCAAGGGGCCTTCACAGTCTCAAAGGCCATGTCATTGGCTAGCAGTGAATTTTTAACACCTGAGGAAGGAAAGCACAATTACTGCTCAGAAGTTGTACCTTTGAGCTGCTTGGTTGCTATTTATCCATATAGCTGTAGCTTTTCCTGCCACAGAGATGTGATTGTGAAAAAAAGCTTGCTTGTTGAATTTCTCAGTATGATGTATCCATTACAAGAGTTCCCCAAGAACAGAAGGGCAACACTAATTAGAACCTAGGTTTAAAAAATATATATCTAGGAAGGAAAACCTGATTTGATGGGCTGATAAAAGGATGACTAACAGGCATCCTTTTGAGAACTTTGTTTAGCATATGTGCCAACTTGTCTATGGGCAATCATATCAAAGCCATATTAATGCACACACATGCACACACTGACATGGCTTCACTTGCCCACTGGCAAAGTCAGCTGACAATTGAGGTAGGAGCTTAGTCAGGGAATACAGTGGTACCTCGGCTCACGAATGCTTCAGTTCACGACCAAATCGGGTCGCGAACAAAAATTTCATAAACATTTTGAATCAGGTTGTGAACTCCGCATTGGGTGGCAACTGCAATCTCGGCCATCTCCCCCTCCCCCTCCCCCCGAGTGGGGAGATGGCTGTGATTGTGCTGGGGGTGGGGGGGCGAGATGGCCGAGATCGCACCCGTCTTTCTTGCACGAGCACACCCATGATTGCACTCTTCTTTCGTGCACCTCGGCCATCTCCCCCCTCCAGCACAATTGAGCCTGTCTCTGCCTCCACCGTGTGCCCATGTTTGCACCCTTCTCTCCGTCCCCCGTGCACCCACGTTCACTCCCATCTCTTCCCCCCAGCTCACCTGTGTTCGCACCTGTCTCTCCCCCCCCCCCCCAGGCCCCCATGTTCCCCCCCCTCCCCCCCCCCCCCCCCCAGTGCGCCCATGTTCACGCCCGTCTCTCTCCCTCCCCACCAGTGTGCTGGGATAATGGGCGTGTGCAGGGATGACGGGCACGATCACGGTCATGCTGGGGGATGGGGAGATGGCCGGGCTCATGCTTGAGGGAGGGGATATGGCCCCAATCTTTGTAGTTCTTTATCACGTTGCTTCAAATGTTTGTGAGTAAAAAAAAGTTGCAGAACGGATTAACCTTCTTTACATTGATCCTTGTGGGGAAATTTAACTTGGCTCATGACCAGTTTGGGTCATGACCAGAGTCCTGGAATGGATTAAGTTTGTGAGCCAAGGTACCACGGTACTCTTCCATATTTTCTGTCTTCTTTACCAGGGCGGAGTCTTTGGGAAGTGAACAGGAGTTAATTGCCTTTACAAGCATGGCAAACTGAATTTGGCCCATGCACCAGAGGTTTTCTCTGCTTTTTAAAAGCAAGAAACATAACACCAGCCTACAGTCTAATGATCACAGTTATAAATCCAACCAAAAAGTAAGTATCTACTTTCAAACTTTTGCTGCACAAATCTGCAGAGTAAGTTCATTGTCACCTGCAAAGACTTCTAAAGTGCTGATTCCAGAGCTACTTGACATTTTTTGCATCAGATGAAAGGGAAAGAGTAAAAGCAATAGCTTGATATTCTGCTGTTATCTTCATGTTATTTTATCTCCTGCTGTATTAATACTATTTTTAAAAAGCATATTCTATTGGAATTAAGTTGTCAGTTCTTTTGTGACAAAATAGAAATATTTTTAAATGCCTAAAACAAAGCTTGAGCCTCAAGACACATTAACCTAAGGATATTTTCAGAAAGAGCATTTCCAGTCCCTTCTGCCTGTCTCAACCAGTGATGATCCTCTCTCCAAAAGCATTTCAAGAAATCAGGGGATCCTTCCTGAACGGTTCAGAATATTGCTGGAGGAGTTGCTGGAAAGGACAAAAATGGTGAGAGAGCTGGATCAAGGCGTGAGCCCTCTAAATACCAACCCACATCATTTGGGAGCACCTCAGCATGCTTCCGATCAGCGGGAAGGGCCATAGGTGACTAATCCAGGGAGAAAATCTTCCTTCCATGAACTTCTTTAGGACTCAAGCTAAAGACTTTTATAGAAGGAGACTTGGCAACTGAAGAAAATGTGAAAGGGTGCAGTCTGCTCTCAGTTACACTTTTCAAGTTGCAGGGGCATTCCTCAAAGCGTGGCAAGGCAAAGCAAGGCAGAGCAGAGCAAAGGAGGTTTTAATGATGTGGCAGGTGGCCCACAGATATTCAAGATCCATATAGCATAGCATCCACCTACAACCTGTTATTCCCTTCCGGCCTAACTCATTCAGCAGTGAATTTGTGCTCCTATATCTGGTAGTCCATTAGATTTGGGATTCCATAAATGAGCAAACCAAAGACAATTAAGCACACCAAATGCTGGAATTAGCTTCAGGACCACCCGAACTACTCTACTTGAACCAGGTGGTGGCTGGAACACCCAATGCTGAAAAGATCTGTTTGCCTGACAGCCAGCCCACCTAAAACATCATTTTGATTTCTTTTTTGCTTTGTTTTGGCTTTTAGAAGAAAAGCTGTTCATGAAAACAGTAAGCTAGAGAATTAAGACACACCAGTTCTGATAACAGCAACCCACACAAGGTAGCTATACACTACGCACATAGAATACATTGCCTCCTCCTGGACTTTCTCATACTCTTAAAAGTAAAGCGGACAAAATATACCAAGAATTGTTGAGACTGAGTCTTCTTTCCAGATTTAGGAACTCAGGATAACCCCAGATGTCTCTTCAATGCAGCTACAAACTGGCATGAGGCACCAACAGGCACTAAATTCTGTGGAAGTTACAAAAGAGAAAAGCACTTACCACCAATGTCCATATCCACTTTGAAGTGCATATTGTGAGTGTGAATTGTTCCTAGCACCCACTGTTCAACTCGGTTGCCAAATTCTGCAGCATCACCAAAGTAAAAAGCAGATGTAATATACCCAGTGGCTTGAACCCTAACACCAACAGCCCCATTTTGGTGAAAAATAAAGTCCCAGATATAGTCATAGTTACTAACTGAAGATATAGATCTGAAGACCAGAGAGGAATCAACCAAGCCTCCATAAAATGGTGCTTGTACATTGTCAAAATGGCGTCGTACAGGTCCCTCTGCATTCTCCTCAAAGATGCAAATGGAGTTTTTGCGGATAACAGGCAATGAAGTATCAATAAAATATTGACTGTCTAAATAAGTAGCTAAGTAAGGACAATCTACACCACGGGTCAGTGTGGAGGCATGTTTTCCAATACCATAGCTTAAGTCCATGTATCTGGTGAGCATTGATGAGGGACTGTTGGAGCCATAGATAGCACTTGCATCTTGCAAGCTTAACTCATAGACTATCCTCTGACCTTTAAACCTGACGTCAAAGACACGTGGTCCCTTGAATCCATCTATTCCAAAGACAAAGCTCCAGGACATGAAGCCAACTTGGTTTTCGGTGATGGTGTAACGTGGTCCACGAGGTATGTAGTGCAAAGGCCCTGGACCCTTGGGTGGCACTCTTGGCTTCAGCGATGCATATCCCCCATCAGGAGGAGCCTTTTTAACCTTGACTACTTTAACTTGCCCCTCATTGAATTTTCTCTCAATATCATCCATATTCTCAAAATATTGTCCATTATAGAACACGTTTAGCACCTTCCACTGAGAAACATCCTGGCTACTTATATCCACATGGATCTCTAAGCCAAGTGGATGCAGATAAAAGCCAGAGACGTTCTGGTAATGTGCCATCCAAAGTTTGCGGTCTCCTGATTTGAATCCTGGTGGCATTCCATGGGTGTATATTAAATTGCTTCCATTGTACTCAAGTACCTTTTGCATAAAGTTTGGAGCTTTGGGATATTCCTTCTGCTTCAGAAAGGTATGCAATTCTTCGAACTCATTATTCAAAACAAATCTTCTAGAGTAAGGCAATGCTCCTCCATACTTCTGCACTGTAACATCTTGGTGGTACATTGGCTTTGGAATGGGACCCACCACAAATTCAGTGACATTGGGCTCCCTCTGATTTCCAAAATGAATCCTAGCCAGAGCTTGCCGGGCAGGCCTGTGCCCTTGATAGTCCAAATATTTCAACACCTCTGCTTTGGGAGGAAGCTGAAGGGTGATGGAATAGAGGCAGTTGTCAGATGGCTTGGCTTGAGAGGGCTCAACTAACGGCACCCCCAAGTTGTGTTGCAAGTACCTCTTCACTTCAATCAGCTCTCCTGGAGATAACTCTGCAAATACCAGGCTGCGAACATCCTGTCCTTTCTCTTCCAATCCCATCTTCTGTGGTTGGTTCTCACACACCATGGGCATTTCTCCTCTTGGCTGGAAAACCCACACTAAGAGTAGGACTACCACTATGATGATAGCTAAAAGAGGAAAAGCCAATTTCAAGTTCATTTTCAGCTGCAAATCTGTAAGCAGGTTCCTGGAGGTTTTGTAGAGCACAGCCTGAATCAACTGACTGTGCCTTCAGAGTCCCAAATGAGAGTAATGACACCAGAGTTAAAAGGGAGATGGGAAGGAAACCTGTTATGCAACTGTTTCAGACTTGTACGCTTCTTTTCCCTGACGAAATACCACCCATATTTCCTTGAAGTGCTGTGTCATGAAAACAATTATGCATTCACACCCTTAACTTAACAAACTTATCAGTCAAGTCTCAACACCAGCTTTTAATTACTCACAAACTGCACACATAGATAATATCTAAATTAATCTATACATTCCATTATAAGTGTAAGGAGCCACAACAGAACCCAGTTTGGAAGGAAAATAATTGGTATGATCCTTTAAATAACTGTATGTGGGTAGTTGGGGTGGGAAGAGCCTAACCTTCAGGACACTGGGTCTTGATCCAGTAGTAAAGCTGAATTCTTGAGATTTCCTTCCTGGGGGTAAAAAAGTTTTTCTTTGCCCTAAGGCAACTATTCCTACTCGCATGTTAATCCCTGACTTTTGTTTGAATTCTATTGTTAATTGTAAGCTTGTCATGGACTGGCAGCTTCTCTCAAATTGAGCAGGATTACTTTTGCAACTACATGTCATCAATGCAATAAAACTAACCTGTTACACAGTCTTGTTACATCAGCTTCACCATTCCTGTTGTAAACTCTCAGGGCTAGGATTGAATCACCTGTTTTACATGATGTACTTCCTGATTGCTCCTAAATTCTAGCAACTCAACTACTGGTGGATCAAGATAAGAATCGAGATTATTAATATAATCAGAGGCATAGGAAGTGTAAATTCAGATTTAATCCTCTCCTGCTAGTGTGTTCTGATGCAGTTCCCCATGAGAGGTGTGTGCACTTTCTCTTGAGTAACACAGCAAAAGAAGATACAACTAATGCTATAAAATTAATGTGACAGCTGGATTCACACATCACAACAAGCAACCCTGTGAGTTTACCATGCCTTGCAGTTTTTCACCTCGATACACCTGACAATTGTAGCATCTGTGTGCAGCTCCCACACTTGTTGCACTGAAGCTGAAAACTTTTTAGTGAAGTACCTCCAGGCCCTGCACTGTCTTTGCACACTAAAGCTGGTCACTGATGGAAAGGAAGAGTTAAAGGACCTCCTCTCCCTGCTGTGTGCTGCTTGAGTGACAGCAACTCCCTGATGTGTTCTGCATTTCAGATTATCTTTGACCCTGCTCTCTGGTTTTCCCTGGGGTTCTGACTCTGCTGCCATTTTCCTGTGATTCTGATGTATCCTTTAGTCCCAACCTGGCTGATCCCATGACTAAGACTGCCAAGCCTTATGAATCCAATGATGAAGACACTTTGTGGAAGCAAAGCAGATTGGGCTTTGTTCAGTAAGTGGAAAACTTTGTGAAGTGACATGTAGACACATAGTGCTATTAAATTAAGGGTGGGGAATTTGTGGTCTTCCAGTTCTTTGGCTTACAACTCCCATCCTCCCTTCACATTGGCCTTTCTGGCTAAAGCTGATGAGAATTTTAGTCCTTTAATGTTCTGAGAGCCATGAGTAGCTGTTGTTGTTCTGGAATTAACTCTTGTTTCATCAGAGAGTTTACAGGGTAAGAGGATTCTCATTTCCTTCTTCTGCATAGTACTAACCAGACTTAGCATGAGTGTCACTGCTGTTGTCTGTAAGGAATCCTCCACCAGTGCTGCCTTCAATGACCACTGCTGCCCAGTAGCTGCCTTCAGGAGTTTCCCAGTCCCCATCGCCATTAGAGAGATCCATCTTCTGCTGGTGTGACTGAAGAGGGTGGAAGCTTCTTAGTTTGGGGTCTTGGCTTTGTCCATTCTGCCTTGGTTGTCCCTGCTAGGAGAACAGTCTAGTAAGTAAGGCTGTTCTGACCTCCTGGTGGCAATGCTTTCAGCTTCTCTGACACAATGAAACTCCTTCACCTATTTAAGGTGTGCTTCCACATTGCCTGCCCCACATTAGTATTTTTCTTTAATATAGAAAACAAGCAGCTGAGTTGACATCTTAATAATGCCATTTGGGATATGGAAGCACTATATGTCTAATGCTTCACATTTTTTAAAATAGCTATAAGAAATCAACTATCTTGGGTGGAGCTTTCTTATCACAAGAATGAGGAATACTTCTTTGAAAAGAAGTATGCCTATTAGCTCAAGTTGGGTGTGGGATAATGTATGATTAAAATGCTCCAACCTTGAAATACATAATAGGAATCAAGACTTATAATTGCTGGCAGAAAGTGGCTCCAAGAACTGGTGAAACAGAAGGAGCGAACATATCCCCCTGGCTCCATCGTAGTAGGTTAAGGCTGAAAGTAAGTTGCTCCATGCTTTGATGTGGCTACCAGCAGATGGCAGCCAAAGACCTGCTCACATCAATGGGTCTCAAACTAAAGATTGCTGTCTTTTTTTCAGCCAAACTGTTGAGTTTAACCACTGAAATGTTTGTGAAGAACATTACAACTGATAAATATGGGAAATTGCAAATATTGCAGAAATAGGAAATGACAGAGCGTCAGATATCTCAGCTGAGAAAGACTGATCGATTCACTTTGACAGCCAGATATAAATGGCTTTTCACCTCTGTTTTGTGAACCCATTTTCTGCAGCTTTTGCATATGGAGCTATCCTCTCAAAGCACAGAGATCGCTGACTCACTGGGCCAAAATAAATGTAAGTTCTCAATAAATTTGTGTCTCCCTCTCCACTCAGGATTCCCCTAAATTGATCAGGACTACTTTTTCCTTTTAGCTATTTTGACTCCTTCTCCCAGACTCAAACTCTCCACAGGTTTTTCTCCAAAAGAAAACTAACTGAATTAGTAATGAACATAATTATGCTGATTTTTAAATACTGTGTGTCAGGTGCAGACTGAGATGCAGTTTGCATACACTGTTGGATGTGTCCTTGTTTCCTTATCAAAAACATGGAAATACTAATTCAGAAAATGCATGTCATAATGGAATGATTCATAATCCCTAGCAATGATGCCTGCTCTGTGCCACTGAACAGTTGGGCTTTGAAGCTTCAGTCCAAGAAAATTTGTAGCTTTCAAGTCTTTGTCTAAGCATATTTTTGTGTTGTTGTTTTTTGCCTTAACAGTAATCAGAGGAGATTAAATTCTATACACATTTACTAGGAAGTCCCATTGATTGGTTGCTACTTTTAAGTACTTTTATACAGCTCTACATTCTTAGGCTGCAGTTTTAAGATGTTGGTTTTGGTCTTGGAATAAATAGAAAAGTTTAGATCCTACACATGTTTACTTGGAATTAAAACCGCTGAGTTCAGTGGAATTTACTTCTGAAAAGAAATGCCCAAGATTGCAGTGCAACAGTACTCATAGCCTATTGGCTGTTAAGGTCTGAAGGAATTATTTTACAATGCCAGAAATGGCTAATTAGGAACTGGAACCTTATATGACCAGGAAAAAAGCTTTTTCCATCTTTTGTTTATCTTGCTATAGCAATTTGCTTACTGATTGCTTTGACTATATTTTTCTTTCATTGTAGGCTGCCCTTCATCTGCCACTGGGATGAACGTTTGGAGAATAAAAAACTACTTCATTGAATTGGTCAAAGAGATTAAAGAAATGTCTGTTCTGGCTATGACTGGACTGGAAATCAGTCAATCAATACTTTGTCCTCTCTGAATCTTGGGAGCCTTCCCAGCCTGGAGCCCTGTAGATACATTAGACCACAGCTCCTACCAAATCCATTCATCTGCATGGAATGCAAGTTGTGATCCAACACATCAGAAGCACACCAGATGGGGGAAGGTTGATCTCGAGCTTTGTAGCGCTTTCCTCCTCCTCTTGACCTTCACTGAACCTCACTTTTGGGATATGCACCCAGCAACGCTTTTGCTTTAGAAATGACAACAGTCTAACTTTCCTGCATAGGATGAGCTGAAGAGAAGCAGCATATTTGGGAAGATAGGAAGCTGCCCTACACTGAGTCAGGTCTCAGTTCATCTATCTCTATCATCCACAGTGACCTGAGTTAAACCTGGAAATGTCAACATGCAAAGCAGGGCATCTGCCACTGAACTGCAGACCCTTCTCCGGATTTTGTGATGCATACATGGTTCCATCCCAAAATACTCAGCCTAGTACCTGTTAGCTAAAACACAGAAGCAGTGTTCTCTGGGGAACCACCTGTCTCCACACATGCACACCCATATATTTCAACCCTCCTTTGGGTGTCTCTGTCATCAAAGTTGGGACAGATGACAAGTGGAAAAATTGCCTTCCCAGTCATGGTGCCTCAGTTGCTACATACTTTCCCAGCCAAACACCTACTCTGATACTGTCCTGGTGTCCAGGGAAGATTTTTTCTTTATTTTCCCAGGCTTCTAAAATAATCTGGCAGTTTTATCTCTGCCGATCCTGTTTATGATGTTCTGCACTTGTTTTATCTCTATTGACAGCTTTTTGTGCTGCTCTTTTAAATTTTGCTGCTTTAATCTTTTTGTGGGCACTGTAAATGTTAATGCTTTGTAAGGCCTCCATGGAGGTGGTTAAAGGGTAAGGAATAAATCCCCTTAATGAACAAACAAACTTTAAACTAAGGAGGATGTTTCAGATTAGATATAGGGGAATTTCCATTTCCTCACTCAGAGTTCAATATGAGTTGGGCCCCATCTAGACATTCTAGGGCCATGCTCTGTTGTCACTGCTGGAAACCAAGAATGAAATATGTGAAACAACACTAAGGAGAGGATCTCTGAGCATGTCCAAAGTTCCTTTTCCTTCTGCAGCATATACAGGAGATGGCCTCCAAGTTCCAGTTCTTCAGGCCTTTGCAGTCCTGAGTTACAGAAATTTTCCCTTCCAAAATTTAAGCTCTGGGCACAACAAACATTAGCAAGCAAGTGAACAGAAAAGCCATCCTATTCAACAAACACAGTACAGGAAAAGATTTCATAAGTATCCACATATCGACAGTGATTGGGGCTGCTGTTGCTTTAAAAGCAAACAAGCAAACCCAAGGCTCATGCACTTAGCTAAATTTAGCAAGACTAGGTCATAGAAACAAATTTCTGGAGCTGGACTTATCCCAATTTAAAAAGGCTTAAGGATACAGTATATCCCTACCTCCCTGTATAAACCAATTCAAGTTATATAATGTACATGGCTTTGCTTACAGCTGGATTCCAGATGGTAATGTGGTATTAAGGCAATTGCAATTGGGCAGAAAGGAGATCAGGACTTATTTTCAGTTAGAACTATCAAGCTGGTCAGACTTTTTCAAGTGAAAAGGGCAAATGGAAAGCACAGATAATAGTTTCTAAAGGGAGAGGCAGCATTGCTAATCAAGACTTGCCACTCTAGTTCCCCAAGTGGAGTAAGATGACTTCAAGCTAAACATGAATCAGCAGTGGGATGTGACTGCAAGAAAAGGCTGATGCCGTGTTGAAATGCACAGAGGATGGAAGGTAACCCGACAAGGCAGAGGTTGTGAGGTGGAAGGCAGCTCATCAAGCACTGCCTTCAGTCTCCCCAAAAGAATGGGAGCCATGGAAGCACTGTGCCTGTCAAACCAAGGCTAGACAAGTGAAACAGGAGGGTTTCAGTGGTGTTAAGTACAGCTGAATTCAGTTGTACTCCACCATTCAGCTCTAGGCACAAGTCATCCACCAAGACAAACGAGGTTGTTTTAATCCTGGAGCTGAATCTGAACTCACTCTGGAATGAATCTCAAGAATTGATGTCCTCCAAGCCCACGTGGAACTGAGAAGCCGCAATCCACTCCAATGCCTTGTCCAAGTATGGCAGATTAGAGACTGAACAGCGGCTATATGAGTTTAAAGGGTCTACAGTTACTAGCATTCATGACCAATGCCCATGCTAGACATGGCTGAGGGGAGCCGAAGCCCATAACCTCTGTATGGCATTTTCAGTTGATATGGCACCATTGGGACAGCTGTAGATGTTACAGGCAAAGAAAGAGTGGTTGGGAAGGGAAGGGAAGGGAAGGGAAGGGAAGGGAAGGGAAGGGAAGGGAAGGGGGAGGGGACAGGCACTCTTGCTTGCCACTAGAGGTATAAACTACATCAAAGAGATATTCAGCCAGCTGTCCAGACCTCTATACTTTTATAATATCACTGGTTCATGGAAAAATAAGGATAATCTAGAACAATTAATATTTCTCAAACTGCAGCACCTGATGCATAGAGAAAGGGTATGGCATCCTTTCCTACCCTGGCTCTGTCTAGTTGTTCTGCTGGTATTCCTGACCATTGTCTATCCTGGCTGAGGTGGATGGGAGCTGAGGTCCAAAACATCTGGACAGAACCAAGCTGTACAGAGTACAGAGCAGAGAAAGGTAGTTGTTTGGCTTTCCTGTCTTATGCTAACCACTACTCTAGCCGTTTACCAAGAAATAAAGAGAGGGATACACAGTTAACCCACAATAAAAGGCAGAGGCATGTCTCTGCTGCAGTTTCACTTTTCAGCTCAGATCACTAACACAAAGCAGCATTACTTCTCTTTCCATTGCAAGCATGGTTGACTTCCAGGATAGTTCTTTGTATGCCAGGAACCGGAGCACTGGGCCATTTAATAGCTAATGGGCTGTTTAATCATCTTAAATTGTCTTGCAGTGGATACCTAGAGCTCCAGGGACTATTCCAACCATCACCACATATCAACACCGAGTAACTAAAGATACAAAATTATTTTTTCTTCATTGCTCTATTTTAAATTCTATTTAAATTTTTAAATGTTAAATTCTCCCCCTTTTTCTCAGTTTTAAC